GGTCAAAAAGTCCCAAAAAGGTGTAAGATTATATTTGAACAGCCCCTTGCTTGCCTGGTTGACTCATATCCGTTTTTTTTCTTTAGGGAGGAGGGGTGGGGGGTGGGAGTGACCTTGCTTAGCCCACCTGGACATTGGCCGCCGACAAGAGTGCTGTAGTCTTTGTCTCATCGTTTCAACAATCGTTTCAACAAGTTTCTGAAAAATGTGCATACGCTGAACTTTTATTTTTATGCACCTTTCGGCTGGGACCCATCCAACCGGCATTTATTTTACGATACCCAACTTCTCATAATCAAATACAATCTCAAGAAAGACTGATTCAGATTGTAAAAAGGGCTATGGTACTGCGATTTTTAAAAAAAGTAATGCCCTTTTATGCCTTACTTTTCGAAAAGCCCTGGTATACTCATACATCTGCATATCACCACAACTGCTTCTGCCAACGCCACCATATTTTCTCTAGCTTTTTAGGCACACACATAAAACATTAAAAACAAAACAAACAAAAAGAAACAAACAAACAAAAGAAAGCAAAAACCACAGCAAAAGCACACATACGCTTGCACATACAGGCATACATACAAACAGACCTAAAACCTGTACCATAACAAAGTATACAACAGTTGCACGTCAAAATAATTCAAAAGGAGAATGTATTGTTATAGAGATTTATTATAACAAAGGTTCGAAAAGATAGACATGCTTATTATAAAACAGATCTAAATGTCCTGTCTTCAGGCGGCTATGTAACATTACATACTACATGTACTATGAAAAAGACAAATGTATAATTCTATAAGTGTAAGTTTACAAATAACAGATCTGTGTTTTGACACAAAAACCATGTTGCCACAAAGACCCAGTTACATTCCCACAGAAGCATCGAAAGTGTCGTTCTGAAGACTATTAAAGTAAAAATAAATCACCAAACAAAATATATAGACAAGATAACTAGAAGGTCTACTGAAACTACAAAGTACTGCACATAATCTTATTATGTATGTACGAAATCTAACAAATATAAGTCTTGTTGAGCTAACTCTGAGTCTTATGAATAGCAAAGCCTGAAATTGGCAACACTGACATTATCAAACAACAATAGATGTATAATCTCAGTGGTAAAAAGGCACCAGTAATAGCGAAGACATTTTGATAAATACATACATCATGTATAACGACAGAGATCTGAAATGAGTTTTTGTGAATTCTGTTGTCCACTCGTCTCAAATTAATTAAGACACTTTTTGAACATTCTTTATAAAGTGACGCATAGTAAGTGTAATCAAGTCCCTATAAGTGACATGAGTATTACGACACAAGTACAGCCACACTATATTAACAGTGATGAAAAATAATATAAATGAATCATAATTACAATGCACACCAAAAGATCGTATGTTGCTTTCTTCATAGATCTACCTGTAGCTGTATGGGGGAAAAGTATCGACCTTTTAAATGGTGTTTGTTCATGCTGCAAGTCTCTGATAACCCTTAGATTGACACCTGTATTAAATTGTGAAGAAAAAGTTCTTGAACTTTTGATACAGATAAACGATAATTCATTTTGAATGTAATTTGAAGAGATATTTGACCTTTAATCTCGCAGTGTTACAATCCTCTTGCAATGATGTGATGCCTTTCTAGACACAATACGAACTATTCTCAAGCAAATTAAGTTGGGTGATGTCAGGACGCCAAACCGAGAAGAATAAAGAGCAAAAATAAATTGGACCCTCGTTTGATATGTGTTTAGAAATCTGATGTGCTGACTGGTAAGACAACATTTGCAACGTATCCTTGTGAGCAGTTTTAAAAATAAGGATAAAATTAAAGGACATATTACATTACATTTCTTTTCCCAAAAAAAACACACAAAAAACCGTAACACACACAATGGCCTTACTAAATGAGTAAACACGTGTTTATTCTTTTAAGAAGAACATACTTTTAAGGAAAAGAGATGGTAGCAAAAAAAGGACAACAGCAATTTTTTAAAATATGGCAAAAATGCTGCCATTACTAGCTACTCACTAAAACTAAACTGTGACATGAATTAACCATGTCCTGCATGGGAAAAAATGGCCTGGAGCATGAGACAGATAGATAGATAACTAGACGGACAGAGAGACAGACAGAAAGAGAGGGAAGAGAGAGAGAGAGAGAGAGAGAGAGAG